GTGATAAATGCACAAAGTTGTTGCTCTTATGCCTGGCTTCCTTCTATCTACGCATTAGGTCTTAAAACATAGCTAACAGTATGTGCTCAATGAGTGCTAGTTGAAGAAAGATTGAACCAATAACTGCTATAAACCAATTTTCAATGTAATCATAATTCTTACCATTGAATGTTACCATGAAGTAACAATCCCAGGCCTTTGATTTTAGCAACCCTGTTCTCAATGCACCAACAGTGTTTCCCTTCTATTCAAAATAAAAAAAAAAATTGCTACATTTGTACAATTATCACACACAACCACACATTGTCAAACCTCTGATAAATTTAGCTAACACATCATTTGCCAGATAATTCATTTGAAAAATAATAAGCTTAGTCAATTGGACAATTACTCTCCTAAGGAAAACATTTCCACAAGACTAAATGCTCAAGGGAGAATACAAATAGCTGTCCCCTTCAAGTTACAAAACAGATCAACATTCACAATTCCAAATGTTTGATGTGTGACAAAACTACGTGTGTGGCATAGCTGTATGGTATAAATTCTGCCAGAATTGGGGAACATTAATTAAGACTATCGGGCAGCAAATTGACTACCTCAAAACTAAGTGTGTACATTTATATACACACATATACATATAGAGATATACACCTGTGCTTAGTGTCACCTGAATTTCAGGCTTAAATTCTCAAATACTGGTTTTTTATAGAATCCTTGTTCAGAAGTGTAAACAAGATGAAATCTTTCCCTTATAACCTTGAAGTAAAAAGAAAACAAACACTTGAAAGTAATGCCTTCTATCTAAGACACTCATTTCGTAATTACTTTGAGGGGAGCAAATATTTATTCTGATTATTTAGACCGATTCCCCTATTCTAATCGTTTTCTCATTGTAGAAAACTTCTGAATTAACACAGAAAACCAGAGCCAGTTGTTCATGTACTAATGTGGTAAGTCAGGCACTTAATCTGCAAGTTGTCAATCCCACTTCATACTCAGCAGTTTAAGTCTTTTTATCCTCTTCAGCTGTAGATATCAGTCAAGATTATTCTATTACCATGTGGTGGGCAACACAATAAAATTTATTACGTGGATTTTAAGCCTGCGACCCAAAAATATCTTAGGTGGCACTTTTGGTAGAGTTGGACTACAGCATTGGTTCTCAAAGTATAGTCCCTAGAATCACCTGAAATATCATCATCTGCAAACTTGCTTGAAATGTTAATTTTAAGATTGTATGCAGATATAAGGGCCCAATGATACATGTTTCAGTCCCCAAGTGAGTTTAATTTATGGTGAAGTTTGAGAAACTTGGGACTAGAGGGTCCCTAAAGCCTTTCAAACCACAAAAACCCAGGTATCAGATAAGAACTAGCACCATGTTCAATGAAATGTATTCAATGAAACCTAGTAATCCAAGTAAATATTATAAAAACATTACATTGCATTAATATTTAAAAACTTGGTACATCTTCATAAAGACAAAATTTATATTAAATAAGCTTTTTCAGGTGACACTGTGACAAATATTTGATACCATTTAACAGTGATGATCTCCAATTTGTTTCCTTCATATTTAAGCTCATACATACATAAGTAGGGATATTTTTCCAACTATCAATGTAGGAATAAAAAATCTGTGTTCATGACATCAAGGTGCAGGCATTTCACATCTATTTTTCAAGAACAGAATATACATTTTCTTTATATGCATATAAAGAAAATATGTGCTTACATATATTCTGTTCTCTCAATTCCTCATCCTACCTATGAGAAATACTAGATATAATTCAAAAGGGGGTGCAAGCAGTAACATGCTGGTGAAGACATTTTAAAAACTACCTAACAGGTCAAACAGATGAAGCATTGTAGGATTCCCACCTACAAAAATATTAATTAATTAGGAGACATCAGGCCTCATACAACTAAAGAATTCTTATCCCAAATAGATCTGATCCCAGAATGTGATTCAGTGAAATCTATATCCATGTTAACATGAAATTTGTTTTACCTAAGAAATGTTCACTTCCAAATATAAAAAAAATGTTAAGACTTACGATACCTTCAATTTTTCTGATGTTATTGTAAAAGAGGGAGACAAAAATAATTCCTTGAACTGACATACAGCCTGGATGGCTTTGAGGGACCAAAAGGCAAAGCTGTTACAAGACAGCAGGGGTCAAGTTTAAGAGTAGTTCTTCCTCCCCTAGATAAAGGTTTCTTCCCCACCTAGTTTGTTTTGACAGATGATTGCCTTTCAAGGAACTTGTTGCCACCTCCCTCCCTTTCTTTAGCACTCTAAGTTCAACTTTTCACCTAAACAAATGCTCTAATCTCTTCTGAACAGAATACCAGAAGGGGTTCTTATTAGCCAAGTAAACTGACATATTCTAAACATCAGGGTCCCTTATTTCTCTCAGTGTTGTCAAGGAAATAACACAGAAACTCAGAGCTATTTTCTTGTTCCAGGCACACACACAAAATTGTTTTCAATGAGAATCCAAAATTATTTATTTTACAGTACTGTGTAAAAGCATATTGAAATCTTCTGTCCTACCATCAGGACCTATAAAGAATTTAGTCATGCAAGTGACTAAATCCTATACTATGATGATTAATGCACCCAGCAACCTACTTCATTTCCATTTTCCCATTTTCAAATATTCCCTGTCAGGAGTATATACATTTCTTTTATTAGCTACTTGGCAGCATTTTATGTTAAAAGGCTTCCAAAATAACAAAACTATATGAAAGTCAACAAATGCCTTTTTAAAAAATCCTTCACACAGTACTTGATACACGTGTTCAGAATTTCCAACACTTTAGATCTACTGAAACTATAGTCACTCAAATGCTAGAACACATTGTTGCAAAGGCATACATTTGAGTAGTTCCCTTTAACGTCTAGATTTAGAATATATACATCATCCAATTGAGTTTAATATTATAGCTTGAGATCATGAGTGAAAAGAGGTCACAAGACCATCACAGGCAAAATTCTCTATTTTTCCTCCAACTGGGAACCTGAGATGTTACCTGGGCAAACAAGACATTTTTAAGGCAAGTTATTTTAATACTTCAAAGAAACCTGTGCACTGTAATTGCTTTTGGCTTCCCCAAAAGAATAAATCTTTGTCAAAAGATCCTTCAGACTTCACCTACACTTCCTAGCCTAAGGCAGATGGAGTGCTCTTGATACATAACCACACAACTTTTATCCTACAGTGGTCATATCACCAAAGGCCTCCTTAACAAAAATACAATTAAAATAAAAAGCGCACACTGCATCCTACTGTTAGAAGGAAAACTTTATGAGGTCAAAATGGTCCACAAACTGCACAGTGTAATGAGAATGAAGGGGTTTGTCTCAGTTTCTTCTTCTTAAATCTAATGATCAATTTCCAAATCAAAACCTCAAAGCACTGAGATATGGCCCACAGTCCATACAATGGACTGCAAAAAAAAAAAAAAAAAAAAAAACCACAAGGTGTGAATTCTGAATTGGAGTCATTTTCTCCAAACACTCCTTTGTGTAAACTGAAACCAAGATAAATGAAAGAAAAATTAAAACCCCTCTCTGTCCTGAACAGTGGGTATCTCCCCTCCCTCCCTACAGCAAGGTAAAATGCTCCATTTTGCAGTACAGATGCAATTTCCAGACCATCCTGTAGTTACAAGGTAATGTCATACTCCAGGGCTTCTGAGACCTTGACAACTTCTTACATTTTAAGGAGCTGGGAGTAACGTTACCCAACTTTTTACTGAAGTACTGTCAAAATTTGACAACAAACACTTGGGGGACATCATGCACCTGCCCCTGTCCACCTAAGGTGGTAGTCAGTCACTGAATATGAAACACAGAAACACAAACAATAGTTTTGGATTTGTTTCTTTAAAAATGACACTTGTATTAAAAGTCTTAAAATGAAGAAACAATGATTGAACGCACGTCTGGAATTAAAAATTACAATTAGAGTTCTCTTGGTATATCACAACAGTAAAATTTTGCTCTTTGCTTTTGAAGGAAAACCCTATGACAGATAAACAAGACATCTTTAAAATAATATAAAAGGGGAGCTAAATACCTGAACATTTGAACAAAATGAAGCGGAAAAAAACAACAAAAACAACAACAAAACAGGATTGCAAAACATGAAAATTACATCTTAAAAGATGGAAATAATATAGAAATTCACCGAACAACAGGCCCTATTGTCCTGGCTCCTTCAGGAAGATTTTGGAAAAGAAACTGGGAAGTGGTTTGGGGAAGAGCAGATTCTGGGATATGGTGGGAAGTTCACAGGTTGGCACCGGCTGGAACAGCTGAGTTTTGAAGGCACTCTGCAGACACAGGGGTGCTGGGCGCCCTGAATCACATTTGCGAAGTCTTTGTACTGTATTTTAAAGAGCTAGTCACCAAAATCTGTTACTGCCAACCAATAGAACAAAAAGCTCAACTTAAACACACACGCACACACACACAATAGTACACACACAAATGTGCAGAATCTGTAACATTTTTTTTCACAGCTGATAAAAAAAAATACTACCGTTCTCCCCCCACCCCGGCCCCCTTTTGATACAGTAGGTAAACAAAATAGATTTTTTTTCCACAAATATCAGCAGACACTGGCACCCCACACTATTGGCATCAGTGTTAACAGTCCCAGATCAGATGTGCAATACTTCAGATTGGATACACTGTAACAAGAATCCAACTTTGCATAGACATCCTCAGAATCGCCATCAGTCACGGGGTTGCCCTTCCAAGCTGGCAGAAAAGGAACCCAACCTTAATTTCCAGCTACTCTTGGAAAAAAAGGAGGAAAAAACAGACGTTTCTTCCTTTCCTCCTGCTCCTTCATTTGGTTCTCCCGGACTTCCTTCCACGCATTTAAGACTTGCAACTAGAAAACGATTGTTGACCAAAAAAAAAAAAAACAAAAAAGAAAAAGATTCACCCCCACCCCCACCCCGTCCTCTTCCTTTCCCCCTCCCCTTTTTCTTCCAGGCTGAAACTTTCGCTGGCCGGTGTCAAGAAGCCAATATAGCGCCCTAACGGCTACTTAAACGGGGAAATATGCGTCAACCAAAATCAATGAGAAACGTACATGCTGCAAAGAGCCACATTTCCATGGGGTCTCGGAAGGTCGGGACGGGACACCTCCTCTGGCACGAGGGGGATGCAGGGGACGCCGGCCAGGAAAGCCAGCAGGGCTCCCTGGCCACCCCGGCCAATGCAAAGTCATTTCCAATCTCAAAGCAAGAAGAGAAATCACATTTAGACAGTCGGGTGCGTTTGGCTTTTGTGCGCAGTGCGAGCGCGGCCGGCGCGCTGAGCCCCGAGCACCTAGAGGATCACGCAGGCCGAGCAGCAGCCCCCGTCGCCGTTGGGCTGCGCCGCGTAGTTCATCTGCCGCACGATCTCGGCAAACAGCTCGTCCACCGAGGCTTTGTTTTTGGCTGAGGTCTCCATGAAGGGGCAGCTCCACTCCTCGGCCAGGGCCTTGCCCTCGCCATAAGAGACCTCGCGCTCGCCTTCCAGGTCCACCTTGTTACCCACCAGGATCATGGGCACGCGCTCGTACCGCTTCACGCGGATGATCTGGTCCCGCATGGGCTTGATGTCCTGGAAGCTCTGCTGGTTGACAAGGCTGTAGACCAGGATGAAGCCCTGGCCGTTCTTGATGTACAGGTCCCGCATGGACGCGAATTGCTCGGTGCCCGCCGTGTCCAGGATCTCCAGCACCGACGGCGACGAGTCCACCTCGATCTCCTTGCGGTAGAAGTCCTCGATCGTGGGGTCGTACTTCTCGATGAAGGAGCCCGTCACGAACTGTACCGTGAGCGCAGACTTGCCCACGCCGCCTGAGCCCAGCACCACCACTTTGTACTCTCTCATGGCTCCGTTGGCGCTCTCACCGCGCCTGCAGCGGCCCCGTCGGGGCTACGCGCCCGGGGATAGCTGGGCTCGGAAGCTGGACTTCTCCCCTTCCTCGGGTCCACAGGGGGAAAAATAAAAATAAAAACCAACAGGAGAGAGGGGCTGGGGAGCGCAGAAATCACAAGGCGGGGGCCGGGCGCTGAGTCGGCGGCACGTCCCTGGGGCGCGGGTCCGGGGCCCCGCAGCAGCCCGCGGCGGCAGCTGCAGCCCAGGCGGCAGCCCGGGAGGACAATGCCGGCTGCCTGCGCGAGGCGACGGCTGCAGATCCTCGCCGCCGCAGCCCGGGAAGGCGGGGAAGCGGTGGCGGCGGGTGGCGGAGGCGGCTGCTAATTGCGCGCCGGCCAGGGACGCGCGTGGCATGAGTCCCCGCAGAGCGTGCGCCCACCGCCGCGGCCCATCGCGCTCTCTCCCGCAACCTCCGCGGGGCGAGGGGTTCCTACTCTCAGTGCACAGCCCTGCCCTCCCCGCCCGGGCGAGCATGCCCAGTGCGCGGCTGGCCGCGCCCGCCCGAATCGCCGCACCAGGTTTTCCCGGGGCCGAGGCGGGGGCGGGGAAGTGGGTTGGGCCTCAGTTCCCGTCGGGAGGAGCGGGCCGGGTGAGGGTGCGAGTCCAGACGGACGGGAAACGTGTGCGAGAGTGGAGGTGCTTAAGGGACTGGAATAGCTCGGGTGGGCGCGAGGAGGATGCTCTCTGGTGGCTTTGGGGCTCGTGCATCAGGGCGGCGGGACGTCCAGGGATGAGGTGGGCTGTACTTCTGTCGACCCCTTTTGCAAAAGCCTACGGACTTCACTCCCGGACCCCGGCGGGCGGGCGTCTCGGGTCGCAGGTTGCACGAGCACCTGGGTGCCTTGGGGGTGCATGAACTCTGGGCCTGCCGTTGCTTCCCGAAGAGAGAAGGGACATCCTTTCGGGATCCGAGCTTCAAAGGGGTTGGAGCGCGGCTGGCCCGCCCACCTCCCAGGACGGAGGGGACCGAAACCCGGACACTGGATCGCAGGTCGATCCAGAGGCGGCGGCGCGCCGGGAGCCTGTCGGGGCATGCTCAGTGCGCGGAGCAGGTTTTCGGCTTGAGAGTAGGAAGCTTTTGCACCACACACCCACACTCCAGCTCAAATTACCTCTCTCCGACTCGGGAGCCATTGGCGCCGGGGCGCAAATCTCACACCCCCAAACCTTCTTCCATTGGCTACCACCGAGGCTTTCTCAGTTTGGGCGGTTTCATTGGCTAAAAAGTAGCCTCCGCTCGTGATTGGTTATTTATAGAGATTGAGTTGAGAGGCGGAGGCACAGCTGTTCTTTCTCTGCTGCCCCCTCCTCCCACTTCCCCAACCCAGTCGTTTTGAAGCTAAGAGTGAAAAAATAAGAGGAATTTAGGCGGAGATCGCAGAGCTAAATATAGTCCTTTGTTAGTGTTTTCGAAAGAGTCTGAATTCTCGATGCCCAGTCACAGCTGTCCCTTAAAGGGGGTAAGAAGGGCGGTTGCAGTTCTAGGTCCTCAAGAAATAGCAAAGTTTCCAAGATTTTTTTCCCCCAGGGAGGAGGAGGGGAGTAGGATGTGAAAATAGCCTCTTTGAGTTATTTCACCCTCGAAGGGTGAGGGAATGCCAGGGCTTGCCCCTCGGTGAGGTCTTGGCTTTGGGGCAGGCAGACACCTGGGAAGGCAGGACTATGCCTGGACTTGCTCCGAGTCGCGTAGGTTCTCCGCGGAGGGGAGGTGTCAAAACCTGTTTGAAGCATGAGCACGTTGGCCTGAGCCCCCGGGTGAGGGGTGGGAGGAGACTGAACTGCACCGACACTGGTTCTGCATCCTGTATTTCGACCCGATGCCACTCCCCGCTGATTTACCCACACAGCGGAAGGATGAAACGGGCAGCGTGTTAACCTCGGGTTCTGATCATTGGTCCCGCCGTTGAGTCACCGCCACGTTTGCGAGTTAATCTTTTCCAAAGCTCTGGCTGTCGCTGCCCAGCGCATCTTGAGTGTGAAGAGTGCGAAGCCTTTGGCCACCGGCATGGCTGGGCATGAGTGGCAGTCCATCCCTCGGGTGGGTGGGAACCAGCCGCCCCCGCTAGTGAGTGGTTAGAGGGCTTTGACCCTTGAGTAAGACTATTTGGATACCATCATGCTTATGTAATTCTCTGGAAAAATCTCCAAAAGGCACAGTCACCTCATACAGTTAGAGAGAACTCTGCAATATTATCTAGCCTTTAATATCTGCCAAATGCTTTCCACTAGCCATCTCATTTACTCCTCTTTTTAAAAAAAAAAAAAAAAGATTTATTTTTATTTATTTGTGCATACAGAACTGGGGTACAGGCCAGAGGCTCAGGGGCGGTGAGAGACTTCACCAGAGACAGAGTGGGGAGCAGAACAGGCAGACTGACAACGTGCACTGCTGAGGGGAGCAGCGGGCGGGTCATAAGAGGTCTGCCTCGCTATGTGGTCACCTCCGGGGCAGGCGGGAATCGAACTCATGTGGAAGTGGCTTTAGATTCTCAGAGCTGTGCTTTAATCCAGTGCTCCACCAGGGAGGGCCTCATTTACGCCTCTTAATCACAATAACAATAAAAATATCTACTTTAAAGATGGGGAAACTGTGGCTGTAAGAGGCAACTTACCTGAGATTCCAGGATTGATGGATGGCCAAACCAAGTTTCTAACCCAGGTGACTTTGTTGGAGAACCTAGTCCGTTTCTCCATTAGGTTGCTCACAAGAAAGTTCCCAGATTTTACTTGTTCTTAGGTTAAATCTTGAAATATTGAGATCAGACTGGCTATAAAATCCAAGCAAGGAGGATCTCTACCCTGGACAACCTCTGACTCTTTTGTCAGGGACCTTTCTCACAGGAATTCACATTCCAGGTAGGCAGAATTCTGGATCCCTTTGCCCAAATAGTACTCAATCCTCTTCCAGGATCTTTGCATCTCTGAACTCACTTCTCCAAGAAATGTCTCTTTGTTGGCCTGTGGACAGCCCTGGAGCTGTGGGTTGAAGAGTGCTCTCCCAGACAGGGGATGGGCGTTCCTCCTGACCATTGAAGAGTAGTTGAGGGGAGCTTTTCCTTCCCTGGCACCTTCTGGTCTAGACAATGGGAGAGTCCAAGAATTTATAATTTACTTCTGGACATCTAGATCCTTGTGAAAAGGGATTTTTCAAAGTGGGAAGATAAATCTTATTTTGTTCACCAGTTAGCTTGGCTTATTTAGGCACTTAGTTTAATACTCTGTGGACCTGTTTGTCTTGTTGACCATAGATGTAGGTGTGGTTCTCAGTGTGATGAAGTAGAAAATCTGTTGAACTTACAGCCTGGAAACTAGTCTTAAATATTGGATGATAATTAAGACCTCAGACTTTGGGCAGTTCCCGTAAGTTCTCCTGATCTTAGTTTGCCTAAATGTGAAATGTTGATAAGAAAAGTTGCCCTAGTCCCCCACCCACATGGGGATCTTGGAGAGAACCTAGTGGCCAAACCCTTCATTTTACCTCAGAGAGCTGACAGAATTAGAACCCTGATGTCCTGACTGCCTTCTTCATGGTGCCAGCCTGTCCTCATGAGTACTAATTAACAGGTAATGGGTGGAAACTCACTGTTAAAGCTGCAATGCCCCACAAGTGCATGACAATTACTGCCCAGATTGGATGCCTGAGACCAGCTTCAGGGGTCCAGCTTGTCATACAGAGGGTCTGAGTGAATCTTGATAACTCTGGCTGTAGATATATGCTGTGGCTAGAAAGTCTGCAGCTGTCATTTCTAGATGGCCTCCCACAGAAAGAGTGGTATTGGGGCACTGGGATTGGAAATGAGCTCATGAAATTGCCAACACACACATTTTTTGAAGTTGGTCATTCTTCTGATAAAATCTGTTAGGAAATTTTAGTTTACTTATGGCACAAATCATTATCTTTCCTCTGTTAGACTCATCTGTGTATCTGTATCTTGTCAACCTCGCTCTGGGTCAATTCCTTCAGGCCAAAGTCCATATCTGGCTTATCTTTGGTTCACCTCTGTCCCTCATGACACCGCAGAGGAGGCCCTCAATAAATGTTCATTAGTGAGCCTATAAATGACATTTTAGTCTTCTTCCAGAGTCTGTCATAGGAGACTATTTTAACATTTCCTGGACCCTGATCAGACAAATGTGTACTAATATTTCAGTCTTCCTGGGTCATAAAGATGTGAGGGTCGGGGCGGTGAGGGGAGCAAATTCTATCCTTATTTGGGTGAAATCAGAGCCACCTTGGAGAAAAGAAACTCAAGTGTCCAATAACTAAGCCCTTTCTCTAAAGAAAACAACATATGCAAATAGCAAGAAAAGGTATTGCTAGAAAACAATGTAAAGTAAAAGTTACCAGGCCAGGGCCTTCCCTGGTGGTGCAACAGGTTAAAGCTCCACTTTATGAAGATCCGAAGCCACTGCAGCATGAGTTGGATCCCCGGCCCCGCAGGTGACCCATATGGCATGGCAGACCTCTCCTGACCCGCCCGCTGCTCCCCTCATCAGTGTATTTCTGTTGATCTGCCTGTTCTGCTCCACACTCTGTGGTAAATCCTCTCACCCACCATACCTCTGGCCTGCACCGCAGTTCTGTAAGCATAAATAAATAAATAAATCTTTAAAAAAAAAGTTACCAGGCCATAATTGCTTGAACTTTTTGTTACAGAATGCTGCAAATATGAGGGTTCTCATCTTGGGCGTTTGCACTCACTGTGTGCCACTGAAGTTGGGCCTCTAGAGAATTTGTAGTTTTATAGAACATGAATCTTTTTATGCCCTTGAAATGAGTACAGGTAGTCCCCAACTTACTACGGTCTGACTTAATAATTTTTGTCTTTATGACAGTGAGAAAGTAATATACATTTAGTAGAAATAGTACTTTAAATTTTGATTTTTTTTTCCAGGCTAGCACGATGTGATCATGAGGAGAAACCAGTTGTTTCTTACTGTGGTAGGTTAATGTCTGCACACGCATGGCTCCTTCATTCTTACAAAGTAAGTAGATATTTATTTCATCATGTTCATAGTTTTAGCTGGTGTCACTTATAAGTAAACAAATAATCCAAAACAAATTTCAGATTTTGAAAATATTTGAGTATCAGTTGGTTATGACCACATGTAATTATTTTAAAGAAAGTGTAAAAATGAATATCTTTGAAGTTTTCTCAGTAAACATTTAAGTATCTGAACATGTTGTAGCATAACCAAGTATCTACTAAGACATATATATTTTCTTTATAGAGATAGAGTATATATAAATAGATGTCCTATATATAAATAGATATACTATATGTATACTATACACACACACACATATACACAATCAGTGATCTTTTAAACTTAATCTACTAATGCCCCTCAAGGTATTTTGTAAGTCAATCAAACCATCACCATTTCATACTAATCCATTACACATTGGGCAGCCAACCTGTAGGTACAATGATGTGTACTAATGATAATCAGATTTTATATTTTCATATCTTAAAAATGTCCCCAGATCCTAGCATGGCAACTAAGAGATGAAAATCAGCCTATATTTTTAAACTGATTTTGGTGACTCCCTCCATCCTTGTGTTTTGATTGTTTCCTTTTTCCTATTTTCATTGCTCTCATTGGTTCATTTACCTATTTTAATTATTTTTCAGTAGAAAATATCGGAGATTCTGACATTTTAAATTAAATCACCTCTTGAAATCATCACTCAAGCTTCTAACAGGCTTTTTGATAGTCCAGAAATAGGCTTAGTAAAATCAGAGATACAACTAGAAGGCTGGAAATAGCTATTGTCTTAAGGTTGGTATTTAGCAGATTAAAATGAAATGGTCATTTTAACATGTGTTATTTTTAATAATGAAAATCATTCATATCTCCATAAAGAAAATACCCAGTTGTGGTGTCACACACACCTGGGTGTGAGTTTTCTCATAAACTCTTACTGATGGTTTGGCACCTTTTCATGATTTTACCTGATTTGTTTCTCTTTTAGGAAGAAAAGTTAAGGGTCTTCTCTCTAAAGATAAATAATCTGACTTCTCTGTTAAGTCTCATATTTGCCTGAGATCTGATTTGTAGATAAAAGAATACTTCTTGCTTATGGGAACATTTTTATGTGATTATCCTCAAGGAAAATTCTAGAGATTTCATTGATCCTGGATTTCTTAGAAAAGTCAAAATCTATGTCTGTTTAAGTTTGTGTCCTCAAGATCTCTGTTCTAACGAACCAGATACATCAATAAGGGGGAATATTTCCTTGCTTTGTTAAAGAATTTTCTTCTCATTTGATAGTTTTCTCACCAAGCACTAGATATCAGGAGCCACTGCTCTGTAGGGCAAACAGCCTTCCACTCCCCCAGGCACAGAGGGTATGTCTCCCACTCAGGGGATAGCAGGATCACCAAGACTTTCAGACTTCGTGGTCTTGTTGGACACAATGAAAGTCTATGATGGGGAAAGGAAGTTCCCTTAGTAAATTACTGCTAGCAGTATGGTTTGGTTTAAGTCATCTGCTTGAGGGGATTCTTTTAAAGTGGGAATTCACAGTCTAGCTGTTGGGACATAAAGAAAGGGGTCTCTGTACTCTAATTTAGGAAGATAATGCTCAAAATTGCAAAATTTAGTCTATTTAAATGCTCGTTATATTTAATTGTGAATAATTTTTCTGAAGCTTTGTTTCTTTTTCATCTGTTTTAAAATGTACATGTAAAAAGATTACTGTTCTGTTATGTACCTATTATAGGTTGGACTAATTACCATAAAGTATAAAAATGGAATTCTTTCAGTTAAGGGATACCCTTTAAAAAAAAAAAAAAAACCTTTATTGGTCTCAGCACTATGAAGTTACTGCAGTCATCAGCACAGTTCAATTCCCCACCAGGGGGCTGACCCACATATGGTGCAACAGACCTCTCCTATCTCACCTGCTGCTCCCCTCAGTGTATTTTAGCAGATCTTCCTGTTCTGCTTCCCACTCTGTCTCTGGTGAATACTCTCAACCCCTTCCCCACACCTCAGCCTATACCCCAGTTCTTGGATGCACAAGTAAAATAAATCTTTTAAAAACACCCACACACACACACACACACACACAAAAAAAAAACTATTGCCTTATAGAATATAAGTGTATGGAATCAAAATTGTACATGATCCTGGGAACCAAATATTAGGATATTTCATATAAGATAAATATTCTACATGAATGATTGTTGACTCTTTTTTCCCCCTGTAAAGGGCCAGATGGTAAATATTTTAAATTTTATAGGTCATCCTGTCTCTGTTACAACTACTCAACTCTGCCCTTGAAGCATGAAAGCACTATAGACTGTATGTAAATAAATCAGCATGACTGTGTTCTAGTAACACTTTCTATATTGAAACAGGTGTTTGGTGGGCTGCTCCCCTCAGCAGTGTACTTCGTTAATCTGCCTGTTCTGTACCCCACTCTGTGTCTGGTGAATCCTCTCACCCTCCGCATCTCTGGCCTGTACCCCAGTTCTGTACAAATAAATAAATCTTAAAAAAATAATAATTTTTATCAGTTTATCAGTTTTTGACTTATTTGTGCTTTTTTAAAATTAAGATATTTAAAAGGTTCTTTTTTTTACTTTTTGATTTATTTTAAGTGGTAAGTGGGATTTAATTCCATAAATAGATAGATATCTCATCCTCTAAGATATTATATACAACTAATTTTTATTTATTTTTTATTTTTTATTTTTTATTTTTTTTGCATAGGAGAACTATGCTGGTACAGGCCAGAGGTACAGGGACTGAGAGGATTCACCAGAGACAGCAGAGACAGAATGGAGAGCAGACCAGATGGGTTAGAAGAGTTTACTGAAATACATTGATTAGGGGAACAATGGGTGAGACAGGAGAGGTCTGCTGTACCATATGGGTCAACTCCTTAGCCAAGGATGGAACTCAGGCCTTAGTGATAATAGTGTTGTATACAGGACCTCCCTTAGCTACCAGGGAGGTCCTGTATACAACCAGTATTTTTTAATTGCATTTTCAAGGTTTTCTTGTTACACTTTGGACCTCCCCCCCTCCAGCTGAAAGTTTTGAGTGTCAGTAAAGAAGGAGAGATTAAAATAAAAGGAGTGTCTGCTGAATAGAAGTTTCTGAGGATAGTGCAGAGGAGGGGATCAAGGTCCTGGCAGGAAAGCTAAGGAACTCATCTTCCACTAGAGCAGGAAAGGAGAATAAAGAGACTAGAAACCACCACAACTGAGTAGATGAGAAGTTGAGAGAGTTCAGTTGCAAATAAACTCCCCATAAATGAAAATGCAAGGCGCCTGCTGAAAAAAGGGAGGCCAGGTGTGGGTTTGGGCATCTGGGTAGACATGAAGCAGGAAGCTGTCATGCTGCTAAATCTGGGTTGCAAGAATTTGTGAGGATGCCAACCTGGCCTTTTTTTTTTTTTTTTTATGGAGTATATTGACAGTTCCTCTTAGAGCTGTCTGATTAGATTCTGTTAAAATTTCTGAAGGCTATTTCTCAACTCATGCAAATAAATCATTGTAAGTGAACCATACATGTCTGATGTGCCCATATCCTTAGTGAAAATACATGTACAATGCTGTAACTTATGTAATTAAAAATCACATTGCTAATGGGAAATTAAATGAAGTCAGTATACTCTTTACCCTTTACCTACATAGCGTCTTTGTTTGTTTTATTGCATGTTAAATTTAATAAAACTTTGACATGAGCTCTCCTGGGTGGTGCAGCATGTTAAAGCACAGCACTATGATGCTCTCTGCAGCTACTGCAGCATCCATTCGATCCCCAACTAGGGAGCTGATCCACATGGCACAGCAGACCTCTCCTGTCTTTCCTGCTGCTCCATTCAGCAGTGTATTTCAGTCAATCTGCCTGTTTTGTTCCCCATTCTGTTTCTAGTGAATCCTCTCACCCCCTACATATCTGGCCTGTATCCCAGTATGTTGTATGCATAAATAAATCTTTAAAAAAAAATAAAACCTTAACAATACCTAAACTCAGGAATGAGTTACTGTAACAGTTTATTTGTCTAGAAATGCTGTTCTTGTGTAGAAGCTCTGTCACAAAGAAATTTAGATTCTTCCCATGATTAGATTAGTATGTAGTAATATAGGTTTGCTATAATAAATTTGAAATGTATTACAAAGCAGATAGGGTAAAATGAATTAGCAAATTGCCCTAAAGCAAAAGCTTAATATTTTAGCTTAAAGTGTTCTTTTCTTATCATAGAATTATTTAAAATAGTAAAGTAGTTTTAGTTTTTGTATGAATCTTAACTTATAGCTCAATTTCGGCTTTGGAATTCTATCACTTACTAGTCAGGAAATGAAAAGTTATTTATGATATCTTAGATACATCATCAAAGAGTTTTGTTCTCTTTGAATTTTTTAATGTAATATCAAAATCCTTATGATATTTCTAACTGGTCAGGGGGGAAAAGTGGACTTCTATTCTTAGCATTACTTTAAGTTTATGGGAGAACTAGTTTTGTTTGTTTTTTTTCCATATATAAATCATTTATTTTAAAAAATTGATTGAAATGACATTGCATTATAAATCCTGCCATTTGCAACAACATGGTTGGCCTCAGTGTACTATGCTTAGTGAAGTAAGTCACAAAGAAAAAGACATGGCATGATTTTACTCATCGATGGTATATAGAAGAGCCAAACAAATGCATGAACTAAATAAAACCAATTTTCAGACTGTGAGGCCAGTACTGGCCTCAGAAGGACAGGAGGAGGGTGGGTGAGTGAATCAGGTAAAAGGGTGAATTCTGTGGTAAAGATTGCAAGTTAGACTTTCACTAATTTTGGAAGGGACGCTAAGGATTTTGTATGCTGAAGTTGTGCAGGAAGTAGCTTCCTTGACAGAGTAGCTGATGACAAAGTCGTTTGGGGTTTTTGTCTGTTTGTGCTGAAGGTGGACTGCTGCCAGGTGTCCGTTCCTGACCCCAGGAACAACAGAGCCTGAAGCTGGTCTGCATAACTAAATGGTGATCAAACCCCTCAGCTGCATTCTTCCAGATGGGTTGTCCTTCTGCAAAAATGATCTTCCTCTTTGTCACCAGTGGTGCCCTTTGATGTGTCAGCATCATTCAAAGCCACAAACAGTGACTTCTGCATCGTTAACACTTTTGTGCATCCTTGTTACTCTGCACCCAGACTTCCATCTCTTTTACCCTGAGATTTTCCTGAAGCTCAAACAAATCTGTCCTCCTTCAGAATGTGTCCTTGTGTATTTGGGAAGCAACTCAGTCTCACGGCTGCAAGTTCTTTATCAGAAAAAAAAAGAGATACTTTTGCTGACTTGGTTTCAAGCTGAAATTTTCTCTGAAGTGTTCTCAGTGTTTGACTTGAATAGAATACCAAGCATAAGCAATCCTAAAATTGTATATTCGTTGTAAGAACGGAATAGTAATTCCTGAATATTACATGCCTGATAAATCTCTTTTTCCATTAAACTTCATAGGTTGTGAAAATTCCTATCTTGAATAGCACATTTTCTACAGGTTGACCCAGGAAATTAATATTCAGTGGCTGAGAGATAGAAGTAACTTTCATGGATACCACATTGTCTTCTTTGGGTGAGCAAAACAATTGTGTAGGAACAGAATAGTTCTGTTATCCTCAGGTGAGTCTGTGGTTTTGAGTATAAATAAAAATGGGGGAAGGAAGGTTGAGCCTGACAAAAAAGACTGTCTTTACTTTTTCACGTATTTTTGTACCCTATGAGCAGCAGGTATATAAAATATAAGACTGTTATTCTCTTTAACTCAGGTAAGTGCATAAAGCTCATTGAGTGTATGACCTCACTGAGGCCAACTTTATATAGACTTTTCTGTAACAAGAAATAGTTGGCGTCTAAGCTATTTCATTCAAAAAATCAGTCATGACGAAAAGGAAGGTCCAATACCAGTACATCAAACATTTCTGTAAGGGACTTAGGGACCACATGAGAGATAAGAGAAGGAATGGTAGAGGCTAACAAATACTCAAGGAGAGTGAAGGGCATCTAAAAGAAAGGGAGATCTCGAGCCAATGCAATGGCTTCCTATGAGTTTGCCCTCTGGGACTGCTCCCAGTGATAACTCCCTAGGGGAAAGAGATTTCAGTAGGTAGCAAACTCATTGGGCCATTGAGATCACTAGGCACTTGTAGCATTTGGGTTCATAATTTCTGCAACATTCGATGCCAGAACCTGTAGCTGTGAGGACTGCTGATGGTCTAACACACACACCCATAGCAGAATGGTCCCCTTCAGTGGCTACTGTCACTTTGGGCCGTTGGCAGCTGTAGCGAGCACCTTAATATCATGCAGTGATGGAGGCACGGAAGAGCTAATCAGGAAAGACTGGAGGAGACCCTTTTTTTTTTCTTTTGATATATAATTATAGTGTATTAGTTTTCTTTTAATTAGTTACTTTCTATTTATATTATTTAGATAATGTGTATTACCCATAAAATTCCCACTATCAAATCACCCATGAACCATTATCATAGTCCCTGTACTCTTCTATCCCCTGTTTTAATCCCTTTTTTTCCCCCTTCCTCATAGAATGTCTCTGATTTATGGCTGCCTACTAATTTTGTTTATTATAACTATTATTGTTATTTCTCCTGATTCCTATATTCTTCCTATAAATGAACCTACTTCATTTTTTTTTTCTTTTTCCTTCTGGCTTATTTCACTGAGCATAATCCCTTCTAGCCCCATCCAAGTTGCTGCCAATGGCATGAGTTTATCTTTTTTGATTGCTGAGTAGTATTCCATTGTGTCTATGTACCATATCTTCTAGATCCAGTCATCTATTTTTGGGCATTTGGGTTTTTTCCATAACTAACCTAGTGTAAATAGTGCTACAGTAAACATAGGGTGCAAGTATCTTGAATCAATGTTTTTGTGTCCTTTGGGTAGATCCCTAGAAGTGGAACTGTTGGGTCATATGGTAGCTCCATTTTCAGTTGTTTGAGGAACCTCCACACAACTTCCCATAGTGGTTGAACCAGTTTGAATTCCCACCAGCAATGTAGGAGAATTCCTTTTCCTCTGCATTCTTGCCAACATTTGTTGTTGCCTGTTTTTTTAATATATGCCATTCTCACTGGTGTGAGGTGGTATCTCTTTGCGGTTTGGTATGCATTTCCCTGATGTTGAACATTTTTTTTCACACCTGTTGGCCATTTGCATTTCATCTTTGGAGAAGCCTCTTTTTAGCTCTTCTACCCATTTTTTGACTGAATTGTTTCCTTTGTTTTTGTTGAGTCATGTGAACTCTGTAGATTTTTGTAATCAGACCCTTATCATTTGTACTGTGTGCAAAAGTTTTCTCCCGATCAGCAGGGTTTCTCTTTGTTTTGGATAGTGTCTCTTGGTGTACAAAAGCATTTTAGTTTGATGTAATCCCAGTTCTTCACCTTTTCCTCCACTTTCTTTTCTTTGGGGAATGTATTTTAAAGATGTTATACTGAGAAGCATGTTGTGTAGTATTTTACCTGTATTTTCTTCTATATATTTTATGATTCCAGGTCTTACATTCAGGTCTTTTATCCATCTTGAGTTGGCTTTGTGCATGGTGTTTAGCAGTAGTCTAGCTTCATTCTTTTGCAAGTTGCAGTCAAATTTTCCCAGTACCGTTTAATGAACTGTCTTTGTTCCATTGCGTATTCTTTGCTCCTTTGTCAAAGATCAGTTGTCCATAATTATGTGGGTTTATTTATGGGTTTTCTAGTTAATACCATTGATCTGTGTGCAGGATAGATGCTTCTAATTACTCTGGGAGCTATTTGATAGGAATTAAAGTGATCCAAACTACCGGCACTGTTAGAGACTAAGGCAAAGTAATAATAACATACATGCTTGTGGTTAACTTACATCTCAGCAGTGTAATATAGTAATTTAGGTTACATGGGAAATTATTTAGAAATAAGTTTTTATAACATGTCACAAAACTTTCCCAATACCCCCTCCTTCCCTCAGGATTTGCAGACTTTATTTTAATGTCTTCTCAAGTAATTTCAACTGAAAGAATTAGCAATAGTTATAAGTGAACTTAACTGGAAATTCAACTAATGGTTTATGGAGCTGAACAAATCAAGTTTACTTCTAACATACCAAGAAGTGTGGAATTGGAGTTTTTCTTTGTGCCATAGCTCACTGAGGAGATATGCATTCGCAGAAACAAGTCAGTTTTTGTGGCAGGAGGAAGCTTTGGGAAGCATCTGTAAAGACTTCAAGGACGTCCTTCTGGTTCTTCAACAAAACTGCTTCCAGTCAAATGTCCTTGGCCAATACTGCATTGAATGTGCTCGAGCAGCACAAGAGGCTGGGGGAAAGTGGTATTTAACTTTTCTATCTTTTATAGTAGAGGGAGTTAAGGGAGAAACAAATGGAGAATGGGATTGGGTCAACCAGCTATAGTGTTTACACCAAACACTAAGCTACTCTTCAGAAAATTAGGCAGTTTTTTAGGCCATTGAATTTGCATTTTTTCATGCACATTCAAATCACTATTGGGTGAATGGTAAGTGTGACTTCTAAAGTTTCCTTTATCTCCAGGTGAGCCAGGCAGCCCTGTGGAGGCATGTGACTAGGAACTGAAGTCCTTACTTCATCCAACTACTCTTTCTGAGGCTGCCAGTGTCCACACGAGTAAATTTGAAGTGAATCTCTAGCTGTTGCCACTGGGGACAGCTTGACTGCAACCTCTTGAGAGACCTTGAGCCCCAGTCTCACAGGTAAGATTCCCAACACTTACAAGGTATAGATAATGAAAGTTTCTTATTTTAAACTACTAGATTTTCAAGTAATCTGTTATACAACCAAAGACAACCATTATAACTTGTTTAACCATCATTGTCCTCAACTATCCATCCAGGATATTTGTGGTTGTAAGGACATAATAAGATAACATCTGTGAAATTGCCCAGTGCAGTTTCCTATAACAAAATAAGGGCCCTGAAAATGTTAATTCAACAAACATATGTGATTATTTTCAATGCCTATCTTTCTCATAAGTTCTTTTTACTTTAGATTTGCACAATTTTTAAATATTTTGTTGTCCTTTGCTTTTCACTAGTACTCATATAGATAGTTTTTGCCAAACAAAGCTGGCTCTGTGGCAATCTCCTGCACAGGGAATGGTTTTGTTTGTTAAGGTCACTTGTGTTTAATAATTAATGTCTTTCCCAGAATGCTGAACTATAGTGTCTGATGTGTCTTTAGTGGCCTACCAACTTAATAAAATATTGCTTATTACTGGAAATAGACCCTGTCTTCACTAGAAGGCTTCTGTGATTTTGATACTCACCATTCAACAGATCTACCCATTACAATATCACTGATGTAGGGGAGACAGTGAAGCTCTTATTTTGCTTTATCTCTTGACCTTTGCCCCATTCTACTGACCCCGTTTCTCATCACTGTTGCTCAGCTGTGCTCAATAGCTTTAAATTATCCTGCATCTTTCCCTTTTCCTTTTAAAAATTATTATCTTTTGTCTTGTCTCTTGGTATTTCTATAAAAATAATTTGTGTCCAAAAAAGTGTGTGTCTGTAAATGTCTATAATCACCTACAATGTTTGTGTGTACCTGTGAGTGTGTGTGTGTATATATTTCATGCAACTAGAATATCTTTTTTGCTCGTAACATAATTTTTGCTCGTAACATAATTTTTGGTTCATTGAACTGTGGTCATACTTCTCTATGATCTATTGTTGGACACTCATGGCCTGCTTTATCACAAAGATTGTTGTTGTTGTCTCAAAGTTGTTGTTTTTTTTTGTTTTTGTTTTTAAAGATTTTATTTTATTTGTGCATACAGAACTGGGGTACAGGCCAGAGGCTCAGGGGCGGTGAGAGGATTCACCAGAGACAGAGTGGGGAGCAGAACAGGTAGATCTACGAAGTACACTGCTGAGGGGAGCAGCGGGCTGGTCAGGAGAGGTCTGCGGCGCCATGTGGTCCCCTCGGGGCAAGCAGGGATCAAACTCATGCGGAAGTGGCTTTAGCTTCTTAGTGCAGTGCTTTAACCCGCTGCGCGACCAGGTAGGGCCATCAAAGTTGTTTTTTTTTTTTTTTTTTTTTTTAAGCATGATATATCCTTGCAGTAGTTCCAAAAGATTAGGAGTTATGAAGTTGTGGTTTTAGAGATTATAGATTTGTCTACGGTGCTATTTAAGGGTTACAGTTTCTCATTTTGTACAAGGCTTAGCCCAGCCTCCTAACTGGTCTCTGCTTCCAGTCTTGGTTTCCCCCAACTACTAATCAGCCCTGTGAAATGCTGGCAGGTAGAGCGTATTAAAAACACAACTGAGAAAATGAATCAATCATACTATGGATGAATGTGAAAGACATCATGTTGAGTGGAAAAGAAAAAAAAAACAGACCCAGCAGAATACTTCCTGTATGATTCTGTTCATACAGTGAAACAATTTTGTGTAGGCACGTGTAATTAAAAATGAACTATAAAGTATATTTAAAAAATAATGGTTAGCTCTAGGAGGACAGCAGCACATTTGAATGCATTACAGAACGAAAGCTGGGGAAAGAAATGGCTGTATCATTTGTGGACCAAATGCTAAATGCAAATCAGCATCTCTTTTTCAAAATTCATGAAGAATTTCAAGGGCCTGCCATGGTGGACTTCTCCTGGCTCACCCACTGTGGTGTACAGTACCTTCAGTGGTATATTTTGTCAATCTGTTCTGCTCCCCACTCTTGCTGGTGAATCCTCTCACTGCCCCTGCACTTCTGGCTTGTACCCCAGTTCTGTGTGCATTAAAAAAAAAATTAAAAAAATTTTCAAGAGCCATGGCAAAGCATTAAGCCAAGGGGGAGACCCTCCTTAGGACAGGCCAAGTTAGACCCTGTGCAGCTGATTCTGACTCTAGAACTACTGGGGATGGACATCGCTTTTGTCCAGTTGGTGTGAAACTGAATATAGGTATTTGTTTCAGAAAAATCTAAATGTCAAACATGTACGATGTAGGCAGGTTTTTTCCTGCCTTCTGGAAGTTTATTCTATTTTACAGCTACTAAAAAATGTGGAAAACAAAAGCAAATTGAAACTGATCAGAGCACTTCCTGTTCAAAAACCTGTAAGATGGTTTCCCACGGATGGAATGCCTGTGGCCGGATGCCTTCTCCTGTCTGTTCATTTGCTGCAGGCTTGGCTGAAATGCCAGCTCATTTATGCAACATCCTAGATTTCTTCATCAGGATTAACTGTTTCCTTCCTTCTGCTCCCTTTGCACTTTCTCCTTCAATCATTGCACTTACCTTCTCTGCCTAAAATCAGAGTTCTTTTAGAACAGTGTATTTTGGTGAAGCTGATATCTTGAGGAAAAATTTTAGTCTTATTCATCTTTGTATTAGAATCCTATCCGGCATCCAATAAGTAGCTATTGAATTTAATTAAAGCGTACATGTAGAGATTAGCATAACTCATTATAAAACATAAAACACTCACAATTCCTATATAATGTAAGGCTCTGAATGATAAATGACACACAGTGACAAAGGTAAAAGTTCTGCAAACTAAGATATGTATAACCACCACCTGGTGAAAATTTGAAATAGGTACCAAGCATTTCATGATGTCATTTAACATTTTTCTGTTTCATGCCAAAGATGAATTTCATAGCCATCTTATTTAAGGCTGTCTTAATATCATAAGTTTAATATGCTATGAATTGCTTTAAATTATTACAAACACCCTAGATACCATTTTCACTGGAAACATTTTTTAAAATTCAATTGCCCACTATTTTCCTATTTTTTTGTTTTGTTTTGTTTTATTTTATTTTTGGCAATTTTAGTTCTTACTAATACTTTGGTTCTTTTGATAAACATGTGATTTGGATATTTTCTTACAACAGACAGATGGGTGTGCTCTCTGGGTATTATTGCTAAAATGAAGAAAATGTTCCCCTTTATAGCATCTGGGTAAGATTTGTAGTTCTGTCACAGATCTAAAATATAGTCAGAAGTAATCATCTCTTTCCCACATAAGGTGACTCTGCAAGTAATTTTTCTGTATTTTTTTTTCATACCAGGCTTTGAAATCACAGATGAGATATGAGTTGAGGAAAAAAAAAAAAAAAACACTATATAAAACAGTATTTGGACATTTCTTTTCATCATTCATTTTTATGGGTATTCTCCAATCATTCTATCCAGACAGCTAGGTTACATACAACAAGTCTGTCATAACATGGAAGTCTTCTGTATATGAGAAAAACACTGATGAGCAAACTTCTAAATGTATGTACAGATAAGTGCAATTTATTCAGCTTTACACATAATTTCACTGTACAAAGCCTGCCTAAGTGAATTAATACATTTGGCTGGTAAACAGATGGTTACATACTCAATGACATAGACATACAGTAAAAACATTCAGTGAAAAGTGTCTACCATTCCTACAGGAGAATTCATTTTTTTTTTTTAAAGATTTATTTATTCATACAGAACTGGGGTACAGGCCAGAGATGTGGAGAGTGAGAGGATTCACCAGAGACAGAGTGGGAGCAGAACAGGCAGATCGACGAAGTACACTGCTGAGGGGAGCAGCGGGCGGGCCAGGAGAGGTCTGCCATGCCATGTGGTCACCTCCGGGGCAGGCGGGAATCGAACCCATGCAGAAGTGGCTTTAGCGTCTTAGTGCTGTGCTTTAACCCGCTGCGCCACGAGGGAGGGCCCCCTACAGGAGAATTCATTTTAATCAACACAAAGATTTTAAATATTTCTTCTCTTATGCTAACAAGTAATCATATACAAGAGAAATAAATCAATTTATCATCTTTGTTAGAGATGATGAGTTTGACAAAGTGACATTTCATTGAAGGCCTGTTTATGCTGTATTGATGCCATTCCTTTTTACAACATTAATCACCTAATGATTAAAGATCAATACTCACAAATGCAATAATACATATATTTTTAAAGGTCATTTGCTGAAATATTTCATTCCTTAATAATTCATCTACATCACGTGGTTTCCTGGGTTCTGACTGCTTCAGGGTTTTTCATTTGTTATGTCTCTGCCTGAGGTATCAGCTGTCTCCTCTCATCTATACAATATCACTTCTTCCGGGAAGCCACAACAGCTTGATCTAAGTTCACTGCAGTCCCCTCTCCCTGAATTAAGTACCAAGTCAGTGCAGGAGCACCTCTTATGCTATTAGAATGCTGTAACAAAACACACAGACTGGGTAGCTTTTAAGGAACAGAAGTTGATTTCTCACACTTTGGAGGCTGAAAGTCTAAGATCAGTGCTATTTTTAAACATTTAGGGCAAGAAGGGAAATGCCTAAAGATTATTCAATGGTCAGCTATACTCAGGACCCCAGGAAACACTTGCCCAACCAGATAAAACCCAGTGAGAGACAAGAACTCTCCAGGGAGGAGAAAGGCAGTCTCCTCCCCTAACCTATGGGAAAACCATAAAAACAGACAAAAACAAGAGCACCTGGAGAGGGGGCTGATTCCATGAAATTGGCAGGTTACGAGGCTGTAAAACAATTTCTCCTCCCCATGTTACTCCCTCCCAAGAGAAAGTCATTGCTGGTTGACATAATGGCCAAACTCGCTCCTCTGCCTTAACCTGCAGCCAGGATGGATAAACTACATCCTGGGAGCTTAGAAGAGGGAGTAACTTAGGAACTGCTGCCGGGACCCTTAAAACATCACCTCCCCCAGCCCCAGTGCCAGCTCAGAGCACCTCAAGAAATGAATA